TCTAACACCTTGAGTTCAATTCCCAGAATCCACATGGTGGAAGGCAAGAGCATGCTTCTGAACATTGTCCTCTGACCACGACAATCATACCATGGTGTGCTCATGTACACATATACACACGCTGTAAAAAATAAAAATGTTAAAGATTTACCATATATTAGAAAACATTTTTGCAGCTATTTAAGTTTAAGATGGAAATTCTAAATCATGTTCAATAAAATATTCCCAGCACCCCAAAAACTTGTATTCCTAGGTAGGCATGAAAAAAAAAAAAAACTCTATGCCAAGCAGTGGTGGTGCACACGTTTAAGCCCAATACTCAGAAGGCGGACACAAGTGGATCTCTGTGAGTTCAAAGCCAGCTTGGTCTACAAAGTGAGTGCCAGGACATCCAGGGCTCTTACACAGAGACACCCTGTCTTGAAAAACCAAAATAAAGAAACAAAAAAACAAAACAAAAGCACATCTACTCATCCCTGATAGGGAACCAATGATAGATCAAAGTAAGAATGCCACCAAAGTCCAACTTGATGAACCAATAAATTTTACTGGAATTATTTCCTGGATTGTGCATGAAAGGGTAGTTAAAGAAATAGAAATAACTCAAAGACAGCTACATCACCTCAGGTCGCCCTCCCCACAGCATGGGAGATAGCTCATGGGAGCTGGAAGCCTGTACCTTGGCTGATCTCTGCTTCTACAGACAGTTACCACCCAGCCTGGAGTCCTGGGCTTTGTGGGATCCACATGGTGGAAGGAAAGAACCAACTCCCAAAAGCTGTCTTCTGATGAGCACACATGCGCGTGTGCATACACATACACACCTGGTGGGGGTGCTCAATGGACAAAGTGCTTGTGCTACAAGTATGAGGACCTGAGTTCTGATCCCTAGCACCCACACCGAAAAGCCGGGTGTCGGGGCACACACCTGTAGCCCCAGTGCTGGGAGGCAGAAACAGAAGGACCCCAGAGCTTTTGGGACCACCAGTATAGCCAAATGACTGAATTTCGGGTTGTTCCAAACACTCTGTCTCCAGAAGTAAAGTGGAGAGAGTTAGATAATGCTATCCAAAACCAACCTATGGCCTTCATACAGGCATATGGGTGCACACCTACCCCATATACCACATAGAAATAGCAGTGGTTAAAAAAGCAGAAAGGGTTTGAGTTCCTTTTTGTACTCAAGCAATAGCTAACCCACATCAACCTCTTCTTTGATATTTTGCAAATGAAATCAGCTGGATCTGGTGACATACCTTTAATTCCAGCACTTTACGACAGAGGCAGGCAGATCTCCATGAGGCTGGCCAAGTCTACAGAGTGAGACCCTGCATCAAATAATAGTAATATAAAAAGTAAAAATTAATAAATAAATGAAATAAAATGCAAGTCAGTTCTTTAGTGCCCGACTTAGCTGTAGACTCAACATGATCACAAGGCACACGCGGACCTAATTATTTTTCTTTTTTTTTTTTTTGTTTTCACAGAAAAGTTTCACTTTAAGTCATGGATGACACAGGTCAGTGGCCTACTTCTTCTTTTGAAGTTTCTCTTGTCACAAAGCTTCCTGTTTGCAAACTGAATTGTGTCAGATTTGAGACAAAAGAGAGGGATTTTCCAACCTTCTTCTGTCCTGGGTCTTTCCATGTTTCAAACTGACCAAGCTCCAGGCAGAGCACCGTGAAGTAAACTTCCAAATAGTGGTGCCCAGGGAGGAGCCTGGCAGAAGACTTTCATGCCTTTGCTTCATTGTTGGAATTTGTATTTGGAGCATTTTGTACAGTGGCTGCAGAATTTGTTGAGAACAGTAGCATGTGCAGTTTTGAAAATGATGGGTTCTGCCATACACTTGGCTCAGCTATGAGCCTCGGTGTCCACAGGCCACCTGAGCTTGGCAGGTCTCCTCAACGGGGTCTCCTGAACTCTTAACGGTTGTCATGACAGTTGTATGGTCTTCACTCTGGCCACAGGTCCCTGAACATGAAGGATTGCTTTGTAACTTCCTGATATTGTCAGTAGAGAACAAGAACGGAGCCCCATCTAACTGTAGATCTGTCCCGAGTGTGACAGAATGAAAACACCCATGGGATGGGGATGCAGCTCAGTAGGTAGCATGCTTGCCTAGCATGCACTTCCCATGTGACCCAGGCATGGTGACATACGCCTGTAACCTCAACACTTGAGAAGTGGAGGTAGGATCGGAAACCTAGGTGTTCATGACCATCTTGTCTAGGGACTTTAGATCAGCCTACATACATACATGACACCGGGGAGGGATCTTGGGCGGGAGGGGATCTCTAGAAAGACTCCCTCTGGTAAGCTTCACCTGTTCTCATGACTTGTTGCTGCTGTGTTTTGTTTTAGCACCAGAAGACGTACAGCTCGGTGGAGTACAATTACAGACTGCATACGTTTGCCAACAACTGGAGGAAGATACAAGCCCACAACCAGAGGAATCACACATTTAAAAGTACTGGGGAGCCCCTTTCCCCCCAGGCCTCTGAGAGAAGGAGGGGTGGGAACACCTCAGCTCTGGAAAGAAAATAATTAGTGGCACCGGCTGGTGAAAGGGTCCTCTCGGGGCTATTGGGTGTAGAGAGCAGGGGCTCAGACTCTGAGAATGTCTTTGTGAACCTCAGATAATAGCTCTGGAAGGGATATAAATTTAGACAGTACTGGCAACCCTCTGTGGAAGTTGTGAAGTCTATAAAAGATTCTACAGGAGCTCTGCCCCTCCAACCCCCCACTTGCCCTTTGAGGGTGCACTACGTACAACCTAGATCTGTTTAGGTTGCTGCGAGACCTCGACTCTCAGACTGTTCTGAGCCCATGAGCAGTCTCTGGAGTCACCCAGTTTCACTCCAGGTGAGGGTCACTAGAAACACATCTAGCATGACCACTGCAGCTGCTGAGAAATGACAGCTCAGCTAAAGGGACTCTGAGCAGCAAGCATGAGCTGCCATTCCTGCATGGTGCTAGCAACTTACAGAGGACATGACAGTATGGAACTGGCTGGGTTGCAGTGAAGACTGGATGAGGGAGGATGGGAAGACGCTACACGGGTATGGCGGCTCTTTACCTGGGTGCTCATCAGTTTTACAGTGGGGATCTAAAACAGCGGATGCCTGGGCTGTACCTCAGATCTCTGCATCCACCAACTCTGGGGTGCCTCTGTCGGCCTGAGCAGCTCTGAGGCACAGTGTCAGTTGGCCTTGCTATTGAATCGTATGAAATACAGAATTTTACAGGAGCCAAGTTGTAGCGGCTCTAACTAGAACATGGGTAAACAAGGGCTCTTGCTTTTTTTGCTTGTTTCTTAATCAATTCACTGTGGCCTTTGTTTCATGTCGTTTTGCTCGTTTTTTTTTTTCCCTTCTCTTTTTCAGTGGGATTGAACCAGTTTTCAGACATGAGCTTTGCTGAAATAAAACGCAAATATCTCTGGTCAGAGCCTCAGGTTGGTGTAGTTCCTTGTTGGTAGAGATTTCTGTCCCGCCTGGTCCCGCAGCTGTTTAGTCCCAAAGAAACATGCAGAGGTCTACATTAATCATAAACTGGTTGGCTTATTAGCTTAGGCTTCTTATTAACTCTTATATCCTACATTAACCCATAATTCTTGTCTGTGTCAGCCACGTGGCTTAGTTCCTTTTATCAGCGAGGCATTTTCATCTTGCCTCCTCTGTGTCTGGGTTACAACTTCAGACTGAGTCTTTCCTCTTCCCAGAATTCTTCTGTTCTGGTCACCCCACCTGTACTTCTTGCCTGGTCGGCCCACCTATACTTCCAATCAGCGTTTTATTAAAGCAATATAAGCAACAAATCTTTACAGTGTAGAAAATCATTATCCCACAGCAGTTCCTTGTAAATCAATCTGTATAATTTTTTTTTCGAGACAGGGTTTCTCTGTGGCTTTGGAGCCTGTCCTGGAACTAGCTCTGTAGACCAGGCTGGTCTCGAACTCACAGAGATCCGCCTGCCTCTGCCTCCTGAGTGCTGGGTTTAAAGGCGTGTGCCACCACTGCCCAGCCAATCTGTATAATTTTGTCTGCACCCGTAAAATAAACATTAAGCCTGCTGTGTTTCCAGCTAGATTCAGTCCTATCCCCAGCCATGCCTAGGAGTGTCCCAGAATATTCCTGGAAAGAGCAGGAGGATCCATCTCTCAACAGTCCCTTAGTCCCGGGCTCTGGCCTTAACAACAAGAATCCATGACTGAGAAGTAGCAGATAAAATATAGGTGCCCAGTTAAAGATGAATTTCAGATAGACTTTTTTTTTTTTTTTTTTTGAGATAAGGTTTCTTGGAGGCTAGGCTGGCCTGGATCTTGATGTGTAACCAAGGCTTGAACTCCTGATCCTCTCACACCTACTTCAAAAGTGCTGGGACTGTAGATGTGTGACCAGATTTTCATTTCTCATCCCCTTTGGTACGTGTGTGTGCATGTGTGCTTCAATGTATGTGGTATATGCATTTGTGTGGTTGATACATATGTGTGTGTGCGGTATATGTATATGGTATGTGTGGTGAACGAAAAAAAAATAAAAAGGAAGGACATGGCTGCTCCTAGGTATGGTGGAGCTGAAAATGTAGATAAGAGCAAGAGCATAGAGCTGGAGAGATGGCTCAGCGGTTAGGAGAGGGAAACCAAGTGCAGCAACCAAGAGGGCAAACGGTAAGAAAGAGGGTAGGTAACCCAAATGACTGGATTATGTAGGGAAGAGCCTCTGGGGGAAGGACAGCCCAGTCCCTGGGCTGGAGAGTTCAGGGTGGAGGGCAGGGTATGCCAGCCACACCCTGTAATAAGTAGGGACTGAGGGATACTGGGAGAACCTGGCAGCCAGGTCTGCCGGAATGTTAAATAAGCACCTCAGTCATTTGTCCCAGGGTTTGAGACTTAATAAGTGGTATATGTGTTGAAATAGGGACGGCGGGGCTGCGTCCCCAGCACCCCGCCGCCCGCATGGCTAGGTTATGCCCGAAATAATTACACGGAAACTGTATTCTTTCAAACACTGCCTGACCCGGCTAGGTCCAGTTTCTTATTGGCTAGCTCTTACATATTGTTCTAACCCATTTCTAATATTCTGTGTAGCCCATGAGCTGGCTTACCAGAGAGGATCTTAACCTGCATCTGTCTGGAGTGGGAGCATCATGGCGACTCCTCCTCTAACCTTCTTTCTCCCAGAATTCTCTTCTGTATACTCCGCCTACCTAATTTTCTATCCAATAAAATGGGCCAAGGCAGTTTCTTTATTAGTAAGAAATCATTCCCACATCATTTCCCCTTTTTCCGTTTAAACAAAAAAGAAAGGCTTTAACTTTAGCATAGTAAAATTACATATAACAAAACAGTTATCAAGTAAGAATTACAGTTACAATATTTATATCTATTTTATCTCTTATCATAACTAAGGAAAACTATAACTATTTATTCTTCAACTCCATCAAAGACTCCAGAAGGATATAATATTATCTAAGTAAACAAGAAATAAGAAAACTCTAGAAATGACAGAGACATCTCGCTGCCTGGACAGTCACCCAAAGTTCCTCTGTACCGTTGGGGCATCCATCTTCGGCCTACAGGCCCATGGTATCCAGATACATTTCCATGAAGCAGGAAATTTTAAAGACAGTTCAGTCACTTTCTGCTGTGTTCTGTAGAATGTCTTGTAGACTCTTTCATGAATCAGGAACCCCGAAAGACCATCTCACCTTTAGGCAAGTTCAGCAGTCCTCTCTCTGAGGGTTCTCTGTGTCCAGTTTATGCAACAGTCCAGGCAAGAGCAGTTTCTTGCCCAAATGACTATCCAACTCCATAAGGATCCTCTTCGATGCCCATCTTCCTCTTGAAGTAGCTGGTGCTGCCAGGAGCAGACGTGTCTCCTTGTCATGAAAAGTCCTAAGTTATTAAAATATTTTAAATGCCATATTCTGCAGTCTTTGAAAGATATGAAGAATGCCTATCTAATTGAAATATATCTCTATATATCTAGAAAATCTAACTAACATGACTACAAGCTTAACTATTAGCAATGATTATCCATTAACAACCTATATTTCCTAATTATACATTACATTTTAAGTGAACTACATAATCACAATACCTTAATCAAGTTCAAAAATACATATACATATAACAAAATTGACCTTAAAATCCATACCAATGCAAATTATTCATATCTATATCATATCCCCCTTTAAATGTAAAAGAACATTTATAAACAATATTTGGGAACATGGGCGTAGTTTTTTCTCTCCAAACTGCTTCCTGCTGAATGGGGGCACTGTTAATCAGATCATTTAGGGTGTAACCTGTGTGTCAGGTTCATCTCGGTTGGCAGTTGAGTGAAGTAATTTTTTGAGGGTGTTCACAGCAACCTTTCAGGAGGGCGTGGTCTATCATACCATACCGGGATAGATGCAATCCATAGGGTCACATCCTCTGTGGAAACAAAAGAAGACCCTCTCCAAAGCATCATATCCTTAGATCCAAATTTTGAAGTCAAGATACCTTTAGAACATATGTGCAGGTTCAGCTTAGCAGCCCATATAATAAAATGTCTCTTTGTACTTAGCTCCTTCACAGTCAAAAATTTTAAAGAAAACACAATGTACATAATCCAGACTCTCTGTGAATTTTTCATTTTTACGTGGCTTATTTTTCTTTATTTCTCTTAATCTATAACTATCTGTACTTCTGTACTCTGTCTCTTTAAAGACTTTACCCTTTTTCTTTTTAAGACATTAACTTTATTCTTTATATTCTCTTTTTTTCCCCAAGCCTACGTACATTCATCCAACGGTGTCTGAATCTGTTTTACTGTGAATCTGTATTTTTTTTTTTATTATCCAGGAGCATTTCTTAAAATGTTAAGCATTTCTTAAAAACTTAAGTTGCACCATGTATAGGTAATACGGTACTGCCTGTGTCCTGCCCAGTCTAAACCTTAACTGCACGGTTTTAAGGTAATTACGGTAGTTCCTGCCTGAGATCAGCACAGTTCAGCAAGGAGCAGCCGCTCCTGCCTCAGAGTCATTTGGTGCTTTTGAGCTGAGCACAGTTACAGGCAAACAGCAGTTTACATTGGAGCCGCAATCAGCAATTTAATTTTGAGACTGAGTGTGCAGCACAGAAACTCTTTTTATCCAAGTTACAGCCAAATCTGACACGCAGAGCACTGCGCAGTCTGAAAACGCGTCTCTGTATGGCAGCAGGAATCCGCCATGCTCTTCCGCCTGCCTAAGCCTGATTCCGCCATCTGCCCAGGTGTAGGCAGGGAACGCTGAGCCATCGGCAGGTCTCAGAGCAATCTCCTCCGATCCCAAGTGGGAACAGAAACATCCAGTCCCATAAAAGCCTTGAAATGCTTTAAAGCCAGAGTTCACGCTGGCAGCATAGCACCAGGAAGCCGCGCTTTAAAATGACGCAGCTTTTTTTCTCTGCTGCTGTTGCTGAATCAGGAATCTCTCTACAGCATGTCACCAACAAAACAGCAAAAATCTGTGTTAAACTCTGTTTCCCTTATTTTTAAGGCTTCTCAGGTTTTTAAGTGGATTTAGCCCCACGTTGGGCGCCATCTGTTGAAATAGGAGCGGCAGGGCTGCGTCCCCGGCACCCGGCCGCCCGCATGGCTAGCTTATACCCAGAAATAATTACACGGAAACTGTATTCTTTCAAACACTGCCTGGCCCGGCTAGGTCCAGTTTCTTATTGGCTAGCTCTTACATATTGTTCTAACCCATTTCTAATATTCTGTGTAGCCCATGAGCTGGCTTACCAGAGAGGATCTTAACCTGCGTCTGTCTGGAGCGGGAGAATCATGGCGACTCTTCCTCTAACCTTCTTTCTCCCAGAATTCTCTTCTGTATACTCCGCCTACCTAATTTTCTATCCAATAAAATGGGCCAAGGCAGTTTCTTTATTAGTAAGAAATCATTCCCACATCATATATGCATGTATATGGTGGATGCACATGTGTGGTGGATACATGTGTGTAATGTATGTAATATGGTATATATGTGTATGGTGTATTGTGTGGTATAATCATATGTATAGTGTATGTGTGTGTGATGGGTGCATGTGTGAGCACATTTGCCTACACATAGACATGTGCATATGAGGAGGCCACAGATTATTATCCTTATTTTCCTCTGATGCCCTCCACCTTATTTTTTATTATTTATTTTTTTATGTAATTAGGTGTACATGTATTTGTGTCTTTCCCCTGAAGTTGAAATCACCTGATGTGGGTGCTGGAAACCAAGCCAAGGTCTTCAGAAAGAAGAGCAAGTGCCCTTAACTGCTCAATGCTGAGTCATCTCTCTGGTCCCATCACCATTTTCTTTTCCCAGACAAGATCTCATTAAGTAGCCCTGGCCAGTCTCAATCTCTTTATATAAACTAGGCTAGCCTTGAACTCACGATGACCCACTTGCCTCTGCCTCTGGGTGCTAGGATTAAAGGCAGGTGCCACCACACCCAAGCTTCTTTCTTAACCTGGAGCTCATCCATTGGCTAGGCTAACTGATCATCAAGTCCCAAGGATCTGCTCTCTGGTCCCCGCCCCCAGTACTGTGGTTACAAATCAGACAGCTGTGAGGACTTAGGTCCTTATTTGCATACAGCAAGCACTTTACCCACTGAACTATCTCCCCAGACTCCTCAGACCCTTTTAAAATTCTATTTTAATTATATTTTCCTTGAAAATAATGTTATTTGGTTGTTTCAGAATTGTTCAGCCACCAAAAGTAACTACCTCCGTGGTACTGGCCCCTACCCCTCCTCCATGGACTGGCGGAAGAAAGGAAACTTTGTCTCAGCAGTGAAGAATCAGGTAAGTGCACGGCAGTCCACACATGTTCCCGCCAAAACAGCTGTCCGACAGCATGCTAGGATGCGGAACTCAGACGCTCACAGCACCTTTGCAAGCCGCTTATCCTTACTTCTGCCTTTTCCCTTCGTCTCTCCCGTTCTCTCTTCTGCAAGGCTTTGGATGTCATTGCTTTAAGGTTTGGCAGCTCTGGAGGATGAAAATGGCCCTGCCTTCCTTCTCTGCACACTGGCCCAAATCCTCCCAGGACTTCCAGGTCTGTCCTGCTGAGTTGCTCAAAACACATTCCCTGAGCCCTCCGAGTCCAAAGACCAGGACCTTTTGTGCCCAGAAAGCATCTTTTCCTCCCTTCCCTCAGACCCTCCTCAGGGCACCAGGCTGCAGGTACTGTCCTGGCTGGCTGCCTTTGGGGCATGGTTGGTTCCAAGTGGTTAGTGATGAGTAACCGAGCCCAGCATCTCTCATTTGCATGCCCTGGGCCTAGTGTGTGTGTGTGTGTGTGTGTGTGTGTGTGTGTGTGTGTGTGTGTGTAGAGGTGGTCTTTATTGTCAGAGAGCCCTCTGCAGGGCATAGGAGACTTGGCCAGGTGCCTGCCTTTCCCTCAGATTCTGGGAGCTTTAATGCATCCTCACTTCTGAAGACTAAACCCCATGTTCTGCTGTTCCCGTTGCACTCTGCTCCCTCCCCCTCAAAATGGCACCACAGCAGACTTCTCAAAGATGCTGACCTCACCATTCCAGGACACCGAGGTTAAGGTTGCCTTCCTAGAAACTCCTGGCTTTCTTGTGAAACTATCCACAAGAGGCGAGGCTTTTTGATTAGCGTCATGTGGCACAAAAGGCACGTGGCACAGCCCCACGTCTTCGCAGGCTCAGCACAGCCGGGAGCCTGCCAGGTTAACTGGATGTGTAAACTGCATTCCGAGGGAGCAAAGCAAGCATCTGCCTCAGCAGGAAACGTGAAGGGCAAGAGTGACCCAAACACAGTGTGCAGGCCCTGTAGAGTCTCATGGCGATTCAAAGCATGGAACCCTAAGCCTACTCTCTGGGCAGGTGGGAAGCCGATGGTTCTCCTGTTATTGGGACCCTAGGCCACCAGACAGGCCTGACCACCTGGGATAGGACGTCATGTGACGTCTTACGGTGGCTACTCCGTGGTGACAGACAGTGGTCATAGTACCCCACATTAGCTCTGAAAGCCCCCTTGAAATGATGTAACTGTACAGGGGGAGAAAGTGGATAGCTAGCTCGGGAGCCAAGATAAACAAGAGGGAACTCAAAACCGGGTATCTGCCACTCTGCTGCAATCCCTGCTGAGGCAGGAGGATCTCAGATTCAAGGGTAGTCTCAGCTACATGGTGAGTTTGGCCTTTGAGGAAGGAATTTAAGAGACATTTAAAAAGTGGAATATGGAAGACAAAAACCGCAAAAAAAAAAAAAAAAAAAAAAAAAAACCCAGGTCCCTGTCCAAGTCAAGTGCCAGTTCTGCTTCCTCCCACGGAGCCTGCAGTCACCTCCATTATGATAAAGCGTTCTCTTTGATCCACGCGTCCTTTTGATCAGATCTTCCTTCAGGAGCCTCGGTTGCTGCGTCCAGAGGAAGGATGCCAGCCTCCTGAGCATGTGCAGAGCAGCGTGGACAGACCTGCTAGTGGGGGCTTGTAAAGGGCAAAGGCATCCAGTGACCAAGGTTGCCACACTGGTGAATGGAGCTGTGTCATGAGGGCATATTCACTGACTCCCTCTGCCTATGTGTCCTCTCTAGGGGTCCTGTGGCAGCTGCTGGACCTTCTCCACCACAGGGGCCCTGGAGTCTGCTGTGGCTATTGCCACCGGGAAGATGCTGTCTTTGGTAAGATGTCAGCCTTAGGCCATTTCCTACAGACTGCCTCTCGCCCCTAGGCCTGAATCTCCGGGCTCATTCACAGTGTTAGCCAAGATTTCTATTTCTATTGGATCTCATGTCCCAATCCTGAGGACATTTAGCCTGGGAATCTCAACGGATGGGTTTCCCAGAAAGAATGAGAGTGAAGAAATTCCCCGAGGGCTCCTTCCTGAGTGGATGTACCCACAGCCTCAGTTTTTCAGCCTAGTACTTCACCAAGCTCTCTGGACAGTAGAAACTGCCCGCGAGACACCCCTTCGGGGAGCTGTGCCCCTTCCCATGCATGGAAGAGCTAGGGTCTACATGTCTATCCACTAACCCCCACGGGAAGGGGGACACTTGTGAAGGAACTGTCCCACTCTGTAGGAAAGAGGGAGAGTTGAGCAAGGCCATGAGAGCCTGGGTCGAGGAGTTAGGGAGCAGTGTCTCTGGGCCTGACCTGCTCCCTCTAGCATACACTATGAGATGCACAGTTTTGTACTGTGTCCACCCCTACAGGACAAGTGCCCCTTAGGAGGGCCTAGTCACACCCTTTCAACTGCTTTGCGGCCAGGTCATTTTGAGCCCCTCCCAACATGTGCCAGCTGCAGGAGAGACACCCTGGGATATACAGAGATGGCCTTGTCCCCGGGGGACCTTACAGGGTCATTGCCACACAACACCAATTAGACCACGAATGTGAATGAGCGAGGGAGAGCTGACACTTCACAGCGACACCTCCCTGGCCTCTCAGCCATCTCCTCACTGACTCTGTGCTTCTTGCTCTAGGCTGAGCAGCAGCTGGTGGACTGTGCCCAGAACTTCAACAATCATGGCTGCCAAGGGTATGTTCCAGAGCGGGAGAGTCCACCGTCCACCCCTTCTCCTCGCCCCCATTTGCTGTTGTCAGGGTCAGCGGCTGCTAGAATCATCCCATGGGTAGAATTAAAGGGTCTCAGAGCTGGAAGGGTTAGGGCTGAATCCAGCCTCTTCCCAAGATGTCACCCAGCCCTATCCTCAGCATCTGGACAAATGGCCAAAAGAATAGATAGGGAAGCAAATACATCCCCCTCCAAAGCCCGGATTCACATGTGGAGAGCTGACTGGCCCCTGAAGCACAAGCTGCCCAGCCCTTGAGAGCCTTATGAAATATGGAAATGTGCCCATGCATAACACTGTGCAGGACCAGCTTCTGGGCCATCCTCTCAATAAGTCACTAACTCCCGTTTTCACGGCGACATTAGCCCTCCTTTCTTTCCCAATGTGATCTGATCTCTGAGAGAGTTTTGTGTGGTTATTCGGGTTTCTGTGCCTATAATATGCAGAAAGTCCCTTAGGACTCTATGTCCCCTAGGACATACTCTTAGCCTTGACTTCCCGGTCAGGCTAAGCCTGGCCCTCACTGCTCCTCTGTGGGACATCCCATGCACCATCTTCTACTCTGACAGCAGTGACTAGCAGGGTCCACATAGCCCAGCCCGAGTCCAGGGACTCAGGGCTGATGCGACAGCCTGCCCAGGATCCACAGCGGGCTTAGTTGCCCCTCATTTTTCATCTCTCTGTACAACTTCACACTGCCGATGGCAAAAGGCTGCCTCCTGGGCGCACTGGAGTCCCACTGCCTTGTGAAGTCTGTTTGCTTTGGTTCATGACATCACATCCATTTTCCATTCAAGTACCGGTGCCCACCATATCCCCCTGTGAACCTAGGCACAGGAGACCCAACAGACAGCGGACCACACAGAGGCGACATTCCTCAGAGTTGAGTAAGCCATGCCCAAGCGTGGCATAGGTCAGGTGGTAACATGGATCCTAGGGAGAAGAGCAAGGACTGGATGAAGTGGGGTCTGCCGAGGGAATTTGTTCAATTTTTATTTGTTTTATAGGAGGTAGGAAGATGGGAAGGATTTACCTTTAGAATCTTTAAAGTCTGAATTGCGATTGTGGCCTGGGCATGGTGTCCCACTTTTCTGAGCTCTATCTGGGGCTGCCATGAGGGCTCAGGCAGTGTCTGTGGACACAGTCCATGGGGATGCCTGCTGTAGATAGCACTGTGGTGACAGTGACTCCTTCAGCCCTCTGAGGCTGCCTGTGTCTCCTGACGGGGGCCTGGCATCCAGGGCTCTCCGCCACAAAGGGGCACTTGTGGCTTGTGCGGTCTCCATTGCCTGAGACCAGGGAGAGCATTGGAGACCTCTCAGGCCTCTGCCACTGAAATGTGCCCCACCACGACCCCAGGCTTACTCATGTGTCCTTCTTGCAGAGGTCTCCCCAGCCAGGCCTTCGAGTACATCCTGTACAACAAGGGCATCATGGGAGAAGACACCTACCCTTACAGAGGCAGGGTAACTGTGGGGGGCCTCAGCTGTGCCCCCTATCATCTCCATTTCGCCCTGATCCCCCTCCACCCTACTGCCATTCAAATCTGGCCTCCTCATGGTGTTGCTTGTGCCCACTGCTCTTACCAAGGGCATCTTTTCACTCCTGCCTCTGTAACACCGTCTGTCTTTCCTGAAAGCCCCTCTTCAGGACCCTCCCACCTCCACTCAGCTTGCCTTGTTCCTTCCTGACTCCGTTGGTTCGCCGCGAGTCACCACCCCATCCAGAGTTTGGTCTCCCTTCTTCAGGAAACACCTAGCTGGCCTCACCCTGGGGCTTTCTGAGCAGCTCAGCCTATGTACCTACCTTGGCCAAAGCACAATGGAGGCTCCTGGGATCTCTCTCCCCACAGGCCAGTCTTTTCCATCATTGTACCCACAATTTCTAGCTCCCGGAAACCAGGTCCCCTCCCCCCATTCCAGTCAATTACTTAATCCCTGCCTGCCTCTGGTTGGCACTGTTCCCTGGACTGTCCCTCTAACCCTACTACAGACGTTCCAGCGTGGCTTCTCTTTCTCAGTTTCCTCGGCTGGCTCAGGTTCTTCCTTGGGCTCTGACCAAGCACTATGCGTGTCCCAGACAGCACAGAACTGTCTCCTGCCCCTGGGTTCTAAACACCTTGAGGACAAGAATGCCTCTAAGCCTCTC